ATATGATGACCTACCCAATGTAAACCCTAGCCTCTGTGCATTCTGGCTTCTCAAAGGCAACACATATTACTGTCTGGAGCCTAGATTAAGAAAAGTACTAAGTCAGAGACTTGAATAACAGCTATAAAATTCTCACCAAGAATGACAATACATATAGGCAACAGGCTTCATACACAACCCAGGAAACTGCTGTTTGCCACCATGCCACATCAGGTCCGTATGGGAAGGAAACTTTGTCATTGTAATTAGTTTCACGCATCATTCATTTTAATGTCTTTCATGTTATGTCTTTGACGTCTTTGGAGTTCCCTTTTGCACAGGAGTAGAGAGAATGCTCTAGTTTCATCAGCCTACATATAGATACACAGATTTCTTTTTATAATTTGTTGATGGTCGTACCTTTTCTCCAATGTTTATTTTTTTGTACTGTTTGTCAAAAATCAGGTGGATAAATTTACATGAACCCATATCTGTGCCTTCCATTTTATTCCATTAGTCTTGAGTCCATTTTTATGCTAGTAAAATTTTCATTCAAATTGTTTTGTAGTCAAGTATCATTTGTTTGTTTCTCTGGGGCTTGCTTTGGCTATTCTAAGTGTTTTATGCTTCCATGTGATCTGTGAAAGACATCATTGGAATTTTGATTAGAGTTAAATTTCAATATAAAAGTAACAATGAGGACACAAATGAGAGAAGCAGCTAACCTTCAAATACAAACTTCTTCATATAACCCAGGTTACTTACATAAAACCACGTTATGAGTTATGAATGTAAAGTCTTTTGATTTCTATGAGTGTCGTTTATTCCTAATTTCCAAAAATTGCACTCTGTGTATAAGAAAGCAGAAAAGTTTTCAGACATTACTTATCATTATTTTATAAAAACTGTTATGAACAATATGAAAGCTTAGATTGTTTGAGGCAAAGCTGAATTATGAGAAATTTATGTAAAATTTTATATCTAGCTCAGTAGGCTTTCAAAAACATAACTTTGTAAAAAGCTGTCAATATTATAAAACATTTAGTCAGAAAATCTGTTAGTGGTAGCACTTTTCAGTTATATCATATTTTGCTTCAATATCCTTACAATGTACCCCATTAATTCTACATCAGTGTTTTTGAAATGAATGCTATTTCTCCCAGAAGACATTTGTCAATATCTGGAGGCTTTTATGCTTGTCAAACCTTGAGGGACAATGTCTTCTGATTTTTCTTACTGAGGCCCAGGGTGCTGCAAATAGCTTACAAAGCACAAAACTGCCCATTGTTCTCGACACAAGAAAGAATTATGTGGATTGAAATACTATGAATACCAATGTTTTTGTTGAAAACACACACACACACACACACACACACACGCATGCACACACACACATCTCAAAATAGAAAGAAATTCAGCCATTGCACCACAAGGAACAAGATATTTTAAGTAATACTATACACAGCACATTTTCTTATATATACACTGTTATGGAAAACTAGCAATTATTTAAGCAAAAGGAACTGACAAAGGTCTAATATTAGCTATAGTAGATGCTTATGGGATGTTTAATTTCTTGTGTGAGATTTTGCACATGAGTGGCAATCTGTTTTTCAATAACTCATGTTTTGCTTTACTTTCCTAGAACAAAGTTTATTCAATTGGGAGTGATTTTTCTAGGTCTTTACTAAATCCCTGTGTAGCTTCTTTTGCATCCAAATTGAAGACAAGTAACAACTTATATTGACACAAAGCCCTTTGAAGGGAAAAAATGTTGTGGTTGAGTGAACACTTCTGTAAGAAAAAAAATAATAATAATTGTACTATCAATCTTGAAAACTTCCAAGGTTTAACGAAGCCAAAACATTGTCAAAAACTAATGAATAAATAAACAAGGAAAATAATGTAATGTCTGCCAATGGGAGAACACAAAAACATAGGTATAAAAGTAGCCCATAAATGAAGCTCCTTTGCTGTCACATGCAATTGTCATGCTTGAGTGTTACATGTCATATATTCTAGAGAGTTCTAATGACAGGTTTGTATAGCTATCAGTCCAATGTGATCATACTTTGTCATGATAGTCTGTAAATGGTTAATTACATTAGACTGAGGTTAAATCTTACCAATATCTTCTCTTTTAAAACAGACTTTATTTTTGAGAAAAAGAAAAATGGAAAGGTTTTGTTATCTGTCATAAAACACCCAAGGGAATTAACAAAGATGAGGCAACCTTTGCCAAAAAGCATCAGTGTTCAGGCACTCATATTCTTGATGTTCTTTTGGCATAGATATTAATTATTATATTATAATAACAATATTTGACATATATAGTAAATATATTATATTATATTATACTATACTATATTATATAACAATATATGCAACACACACAAAGCACTCCTATCAAATTGCTGTGTTTTATTTTTCCAATTTTGTTCCTGTGGACCTTAGTTCTAGATCTTTGGTTTTTCTAAAATGAACATCTTCCCAAGTGTTATAGCCAGAGTCAAGTTCAGCTTTACTCAGACTATTGTAGTTATGCTCAGGTTTAGTATCTGTCAGATTTTATGGGAGTCTTAAAAATACAGCTGCCCTATCTTCTTCATGCTTTAAACGAAAGATATTCAGTATCTTGAAGCAGGGACATGTAATTTTAAAGATAAAAGGTATTAAATAAGCATGCTATTCTCTTCACATTGAATTTGGAAGTTTAAAATATGTTTCATTTTATCGTTAATTGTGTGTGTGTGTGTATCTCTACAGGTTTGTGTACACATGAGATCACTTTCATAGGAATTCAGATGAGAATGTCAAATGCTTTGAAACTTGAGTTGAGGGTGGTTGAAAGGTACCAACATGGATTCTGGAGGCAAGCTCTTGTCCACGTTAAAGTCAGTAATGCTCTTAACCACTTAGGTATCTTTGTGGCCCTGGTACTTTAGATGACTATGAAAGTAATTTAATTTTACCTCTAAGTTTTCCAAGAATTCTATCATGAAGTAATTGCTTTTAAACAGAGATTTTTTTTCAAAGAATTTAAACAATCAATGTCTATTTAATTACCCTGGGACACTATTCTCCCTTAATCTAATGTTACATAATTTAGAACAGAACATATTAGTGCAAACTGCCATCATTTGTCTCTCTTAATATAACCTTATTTGGGCACAAAACAAGACTGACAAATATCTCTCCTAGAGATTGTTCTGTTCTTTCCTTTTACCTATGTGGGTAGCACAAAAGATATAATAAGAAAAAAACTTTAAAATGAGTTTTAACTTGGAAATGAGTTGATATTATAATAATATTTAATAATTGTGATTATTTCCATAATTAAAATTAAAATTTCTATATACTTCTTTATACAAATAAACAAATGATCCTCTCAGTCTTAAATGGAGAAATTTCTTTTTACCATGAAGGAAATTCAGAGGCATGTGACTACAAATAATACTGAGAGTAAGTAGCAATTCATCCCTCAGTAGGATATTCATATTGTCCTTAGGGTCAAGGGAGGTTAATAACAGAGTAGGAAGGTAGGATATAAGACATAGAAGACAGAGGAAGATCTGTGCAGTGCTCTCATATTGCCATGACAAAATTGTCATCTCAGCAGGTCTGCACATGACTACTGTCAGCAATCATGTTGTGTGAGTCAAGAGCTTACCTTTTCACATGGAAATATGAGATAATTATAGTTTCTATGTGAGGGGGAGACAGTATTTTCCAGTGTGAACTGGAAACACCACTGAAATCCTTATATTGAAACAAAAAACAAAAGAAAATTAACAACAACAACAAAACAATAGTACCTAACCCATGGTCACACATAGGCTCCTGGTTAAAACTTCGGTTAAAAAATTGAAAAAAAAAAGTAGAAAAAACAGACATGGGTGTGGGAGAAGGACCTGGGAGGGGAAGTAAGAGAGGTGGGAGGGAAAGAAGATAAGACTGGTTGAGTGTGAAGAGTATGCAGTGTGTGTGTGTGTTGTGTGTGTGTGTGTGTGTGTTTGGGGTGTGTGTGTATGTGTGTGTGTGTAAAACAAAGTAATAGAAGAAACTTCCTGATGTCCTTTTAATAATATATGAGTATTATAGCTTCTTATCTAAGTGAGTTAGTCTGGTTGTATGTCCAGGAATTATTGCAACTTCATCAAGATATGTTTTGTTTCTTATAGTCTATTATCTTTATAAAAGGAGTGTATTAATTGGAGCTGTAGAATTGTTTTTATTCATGATTGATGACACTATGGATGAAGTAATCGCCAAGGCTTTAAAATCAATCCTATATGAGGTCCATTTGGGTTTGCATTTTAAATTTTGTTAGTTTGCATTGCTCCAATTTTATGTCATTCAGTTACATTTACTAAATACATAATAAATATATTATATATATTTCCCTATATTAAATAGTTAAACATTAACCAGGATTTAATTAGGTGTGCATTTTCTCAATCTCCCAATTGCATTTTGATGAACTCCTTGGTTATTCAATTAACATGTGAATGATTTGCATAAAGTCTATTTATACTCTATGGGCTATTGCAGAATCACTTGATATTTTCCCTGTTATATTAATGGATCCATTTACTATTGTACTATTGGGAAATGAAGTCCTATAATTGGAATCTAGTGAGATACTTTACAGCTTATTAGCTTAGGGGTAATTATCTGCATGTTATATTGCACATTGAATTGCAATTGAAAGTAACTCATTATAATATTTAAGAGAAGTAGCAACAAAAATAATTAAATTGTTACAGTAACCCCTGGCTTCCAATGAAAATGAGTACATATATTGAAGTATTTTTCTTTAACTTATAAACAATGTGTTCCTTTTTGATAACTATTCTTTTCTCTTGTTCCTTTTCTTTTTACTTTTTAAAATTTGCTGCTTGCCATTGCAGGAAGTAGAGGTTCGTATATTGCTTCTATGTTTCATATATTATTTCATATTGTATAAATCTATGTATTTAATTGATCATATATACCTAAATCATGTTCTTTTCCTCCCTTAGGATGATTACTTCCGTACTTGGAATCCAGGAAAACCATTTGATCAAGGTAAAAATCTAATTATTTTAATATAAAAATATTTAAATGTTCATAATTGCTATACTTTAGAAATACTATTTATTGACTGGTTTACATTTAAAATGCTAAACACATAAACATATATGCATTAACTATGTTATTTTTGATAAAGTTAGAAAGAAGATAATTCTGTGTATGATTATGTGAGAATGGCATTTATTTTTAGAAACATGGTTTAGATTACTGATTTGAGATTTTAAACTTTATTCACCATCTTTATTTTTATTGATTGTTACAAGGTCCTTCATCTAGTTTTCAGGGGTACCAATGTGGTAGTGGATTTATTTGTTCAAATTTCCCAAAGAAACATCTTTGCTGTCTCCACTTTGATTGATTAAAATATTCATTGAAAATGGAACACCCTTCTTATTTACATTCAACTAAGGCCTTAGACAGACCTTAAAGAAAATGTTAGACACTAAATACTATTCTCTACCTCACAACTCAGAGCTTGCCTCTTACGAGCTCAGCTGAAGAAGGAAAGCTGTACAGATCAGCAAGCATGTACCATGATAATGACAATATTCATCTCACCACAATCTGAAGAGCTCTACTCACTAGACCCTGTGATACTGGAGCCAGGATGTGTTTTTAAATTTTTAAAACAAGAATTTTATGTTTGAGAGAGTATTCTTCTCTGCATAGCTCTCATCCTGTGAAGGAATATTGCTTAGGAAGCTGTCATTTTCCTATAGGTATAATGAAATACATCAATTATGCAGAAAATAAAGGCTGGTTATTGAGCATTTTCCTGGAGGCTCAAGTCTAGGCGAGAGTTGCCCCTTTGGTGTGGGTACCTGGGAAGGGATAACATTAGGGAGTAAAGCATTTACATCACAAGCAAGGACACTAAGAGAAGAAGATGGAGGCTTCAGTGTTCCCTGGTCTTCTGTCAATGAATGCCCCTCAAGGACCTGCAACTCTCCACTTGTTAAGGGTCAGTTGTTTCACAATATTTCTTGATTAAAAGACAATTCTTTAATGCTTAGATTCTAGGGTGATATTTAATATCCAAACTATGAACTTATATCTAGAAATATTTGTATGTTAGTTTAAATAATCTGTAGATCTGGATGTAAACCATCATCTTGACAATGTCATTTTAACATGTGAAGCAGGCATTTGCGCCCTGGCCATGCTTCAAAATTAGTACTTCATTATCTCCTTCACATTATATCAGCATAATACCCCTGGTGTTATTTATTGAGTCTTCATACCAGGATTTAAATAATTTATTTTTCTCTTGGTTTACCAATAAGTCATGCCAATGTGTTAAGTAAAAATGCAATGAAAACATGTCAAGCAGAATGAAATGTGTTTATATTTCTTCTTGGAAAATGATTTTTTATGGTGGAATTATAAACCCTGACAACTGGAAATTATCTCTAAACACTTAAACTTGTCATTCTTGGTAAGTGCTGTTATAATAAAGACCTTTTAGTGCTCCCTGTGTGGGGGCGGGGAGTGTGTTGAATTGTGACTATTCTTTACTTGTGTAAAACTGATTATCATAAGAGATGTTACTATAAGCAAATGTAGTACAAAAATGATTTAGTCTTCAATGACAAGTATTAGAATAATGCCTTATTAAATATAAATCATAGATGTTATATTTGTTAAGGATTTTGTGATGGAATATTAGATAAATTTTATGAAAAGTTTCTAGTATCATCATTATTTATAAAATAAAAATATATCAGTTTATTTAACCATTGCACTAACTCTTTAGAGTTCAGAAGGATATTGAAGAATTGAGGTAGTCAACTTCCTACCCATGTGATGGTTCTCCAAATTGGAAGAGTAAGAATTTGAGCTTGGGAATTCTGACTGCCAATTCCAGTGCCCTAAGTTCTATGTGCTATTGAAAATCATAAATTAGCTATAACATATAAGAACTGGATTGGCACTAATATATCTTTAGAATATATAATTCTGAACACAGAGTTTAGTGGTACTCACTGTGATGTTTGTTTTTATATGTGCATGTAATATACACTGAGAAATCTTCCCTTTTCCTACAATCACAAAGCCTTATTTTTAAATTAAATAGAAACATGTTACTACTTTTTATACCCCAGGCCTACACTATTTTCTATACTCTAAGCTCTAAAATGTTGTTTGACAGGACCTATATTATTAATATTTAAAAATACACAAATGTTACCTCTAGTTCAGAACCATATTATATTGAAATATATGTATCATCATTTGTGAACCACTCTGGAAGGAAGAGAATTTTTCAATCCTCCATGAGACATAAATAAGACAGAATTAAGATGTATTAATTTCTAATGCATTTCTAATTCCTTTAGTTAACATTTTCTTCAATGGGAAATCATTTTTAAATGCTAATTGTGCTATTGAATACAAGATGAATTAGAATGAATCTTAAAGATGCTTATCTTTAGTATATTGTATTTATGGATAACTATAGAATACAAATATAAGTAGATTTTTCTATTTTTAGTAGTATATTTTTATTTGCTACCATTTATGCCTTTCTGGTGAAATAGTTTTAATATTAGATATTACTTCGATGCTTCTTTCGTACTTCAAAATCTTTCTGTGTGCATGAATATAACAGACAAGTATGAATATATATATATGTATATATATACATATATATATATATATATGTATATATATATGCACAAATATATATGTGTTCCTGTTAACTAGTTTCTTGTTCATACATATCTCATGTTTTACAGTTTTCGCTGTGACAGTTATAAAAATCTCATTTATGATTTTTTTAAATTCATCACGACATCACTAGTTTGTCTTTATATCTACTAAAATAAATAGAATATTGGAGAATTATAATAGTTTTGTGTTTTTAAGTAAAACCATTCTCATGTTTGTACCTCTGTTACAAAAATAAAGAAAGTACACAGATGCCAAAAATAAATTGCCTTGCATTTCTCCGTGTTGAGTTCTCTGTGCTATTACTTCCCTTCATTAGTGTGGTTAATCATGAGTTGACACAACTGAAATTAACTGAAAAATAATTTTAATGAGGACATGCATCTTCTGGAATAAGGCATAGACATTGTGTTCTTTATTTATTGTGAAAAAATATGGAGACATTCACAAGTTAACATAGATTGTAGCAGAATCCAGGTTTAAAATATTTTAGTCATGCTTTGAATATATTCACAGCAGGTTCTAAGGACAAGCATGCACGTCTTTCTCTTAACCTGCCTTGTCTGTGAAATCAGTGGAATTTTCAACAGTATTTTCTGAGGATGTTTAGAGAATCTGTTTTATCTAAAGGACTATATCTGGACAAGCTATTTTACTCAAAAGCATTTCACACACACACACACACACACACACACACACACACACACACACAGACACTCACACAATGGAGTGGAATGAAAGATATAGGAAGTAGCTCCCTGTATTGCTGTAGTTTTTCTATTATAGCATTAGTTACTTTTCTATTGGCTGTTATAAATCACCTTAGGAATCTCATTAAAGAATGCAGGATTTATTTCTGGTTACTGTTTGAAAGTGTTGTCCATCTTTCCTGGGACAGCATGGAAGCATGTATGCCAAGGAGAAAGAGAACTATGAGTGCTGAGGCTCAGTTCTCATTCTCTTTTTTATTTTTTTTCATGGATCCAAGGCCAGGAATAACTGCCTACCAAATTGAGAATGGGTCCTTTCATCTCAATTAATCAAATTTTAAAATTGGCATTGTTTGGTCCAAAGGTTTGTCTTCTAATTAAATCTAGATTCTGTTAAATTGACAACTATTAGTTATCACATCAAAGCAGCTTGGGGTTCCTTTGCTTTGTAATTACCTAGGAGAAGATTGTATTTAACAGATTCATAACTGGAACCTAGATATAAACATATCCATGCTTTTTGTAATGTCATTTTTATGTGATAGCTATGTTTCTCTGTTTGGCATGTATCTGGGGGTGGAATTGGGGTCAAGACCAATAGCTGTAGATTTTATAAATGTTCTCTGTCTTTGAGATATACATAGATTCCATGTCCTCCAGTGTGGAGGAAATACTAAGTCTTCTATGTGGAGATAAAAGCCCTACTGCATTTTTAGATTGGATTTATAAAATGAGATATGTGAAGAGCTATTCCTGATCTTAAGATGGTGAAAACTTTAGCTATGGTAGTGGATGAGCCTTGTTCCAAGATTATATGGAGAGCAGATGACAAAAGTGCCTCCTCTGTTTCAAAGAACAGTCACATCTTAGCCCTGTGCTTATCCATCATTTCTAGTTTCCTTCTCACTTCTCAGGATTTCCCAATTCTCAGTAGTTCCATTTTCCTGCAGAGTGTCTTCCAAGATATACCCATCACAGCTAGATTTGCCCCCTAATTATCAAGGTCTGGCTGTGAAAACTTGCCGGGAGAACTTGATCTGGAGACTTGTTCTCGTCAATGATCATAACTATTCATATGTTTATAACTTTCTGAAATCAAAGAAGTTAGGTTTTGGAGTAAGAAGTCCTCACGGTTTGTTTTCTCTTTCTTTAAATACAGTGATGTACTTGAAACATGAGTTCTGTGGACGGGACTGGGTATATTCAAATACCGTGAATATAATTTGTTTACATGAGTTTTGTTTTCTATTCTCAACTTGGACATTTCTAACTACTATTCTGGAACAATAGGTTGATCTGATCTGTTTTTCACAATAGAGTCATGGTGTGCTACAATAGGACTTTGTGTAAAAGCTTGAAGCCTCTTGGTTCTGTGTTAACAGGGAAACTAGTGGTCTGTTAAAATTCATTGAGTGAAATATACAAAATTATTTTATAAATGGTTTTCTATTATTTAAATCATGAATCTGAGCCACTGTTTGATGTGAATAATTATCTGATTAATTTACATGGTTTTATTTAAGATTTTTTTTTAGTCATTTTGAACAAAATCATTTTTAGATACTAACAAGTATATTGCTTCATATCCTTTGTTGATTTCTTTTTTACCAACATCAA